GCTATCTGTTGTATTAACAATGATAAAAGCACAGTCTGTGCTTAGGGATATTGCCTAGATCACTTACACGTAGAAAAGGTTTAAGTAAACTGTTACATTCACAAACCAGATGAATACATTGACCTCATTATACTAAAATATACTTTATTAATAAATAACAAAATAATTTTCCTGTTATCAATTAACAAGTTAAATAGGATTTGCATAGAAACATTTTTTATAAATTACTGTACACACCTGTACACCTGAGCTCCACATTTTCCTAAATCATGCTATAACATGCCTGAAAATTAGACCAAGATTGCAACGTCTTATTATAAAGGACAAACATGGAATTCTATCAATTTCTTTTGTGCGTCTAGAAATCTTGAGCATTTTTTCCTCACTGAGAAGCTGTGAATTTCTGTGGGTTTGGAGAACATCACTCGTATGAAGCATGTCACCTACATCTTCCCACTTACACCTTCTGACAAAATTTTTCCATCCAATCAGCAAAAGGCTTAAAAACAGTAAAGCACAGTATTCCGCTTAGCAACAGGCATATGAGAAACCCTATTCCAGATCTGTCACTACCTCTAACATTTTTTCATTTGCATCTCTCAACTGCAAGCCTGTGAGCACAGAGACCTATCTTACTTGCTCTGGCAGTAAGTATAGACACTGCAAAATAAAGATCTAGGTGATTGTGCAACCCAAGTTTCACACAGGCTTCACAGTTTGCCTCAGTCTCTCCTGAGGGCAGCTGTACAACCAACTCTGCTGTCTGCTATACATTTTCATCTTCCCATTAAATTATACAGCTGTATAGCTTTTCTGACACACTAAACCTGAACTTCAGGCTTCTAGTAGAAGCCTAGCAGGCAATGATGCACATCACTGCTGTAGACTAAAGGCATGAATTCATCCTTTATCTTTTTCCCCATAAAATTAATGTGGGCTAATTCTGAGCTGGCATTTCACATGGATTTTGCCTGTGCTGTAGTTCTGTTACTCTCCTGCTGGTATATGTAATTTTACCTTGCTTCTTGAGTTGTCCACTGAATCTGCTCTCAATTTCTTCAAAGTTTCTGCAGGCAGTAAACTTCTGCTCTCTCTCTGGCAATCACTGTTGTCACTGTCATATCACTGCTGCTGGAAAAAACACCTGATGTGCTGCAGGGTGACAGGTAGTGCAGGCAGAGCCAGGGCCAGGGTTCATGAAAGTCCTATATTCACTTGTCTGTGCTATCAGACAAGTGAATACAGGAACTGAATATCATTTCTACCTGTGCTACAGCCAATAAAAATCTGGATGGGCTGCAGACAGCATATAACCAAAGGATGGTGTCATATGGCCTCCTATTTCCGCTATTAATTCCTTAGTAGAACAAAAACTGTTCCAGCCAGGGTGAGCAGCCTGCTAACAGAAGGTGAGGAACAAATAAAAGCATAAAAGCTGAGTCAAATACAATATTTCTTTGAGGAAGAAGTAGACCTGGAAACAAGAGACAGGCCCAGCAGAGACCTGCTGAAATGTTCCAATACAGAGCAGGGCTACATACATGAGTCCACCTACTGTTCTAACATCTTACTGCTTCTGTCAAACTTTGACAAAGCTTGAAATATGAATTCAAGGAACGATGAACAGAACCGCATTGAACAATAAGGAAATGAAATATTTTTCTAATTTCATTTTTACATACATCCCAATGATAATTGTCACCTGTACAGCATTATGGCAATAGAAACTGTTATGGCCAAAATAAATGCATTTAAATCCTCAGTGCCTCTCACTAAAACATAACAAACAAGCAAGAAACCTCTGGAACTAAAGAGATTCTTCTGTTTGACAGTTTTGTGCATTTCTGTCAGGAGATGCTGCAGTATTACATGAAATACAGAATTAGTGAGTATCTCAGTAACTTATAAACAGCACAAGATTTGACTGAAAAAGGGAAAGCCACCTTCTCAAATGGTCCTATCACTTCCCAAGGAGACTGTTGGTCTTAACAGGAGTAAGATTCTCATTTAAGAAAATACATCTTACAGATAAGAACTTGGGTGTTTGCTTTTTTTCTTCTTCTTTCCTGACTGTTATGTTAATACTCACTTAAGGAGCAGATCTTAAGTGATTATTAGCAGATAAGGAGTGATTATTAAACTTCTTGTAAGAAAATACCTTGCATATTATATATACTAGATAACTTGCTTGCATTTTGATAGCAGTAAAGAAGTGATTTGAAGAGCTCTGAAGATCCCTAGTCTTCCCATTGTTTCCAAAATAGTGAGGCAAGCAGCAATAAAAAACAAAAAACAAACAAAAAAAAAGAAAAAAAGAAAGAATTTTAACAACTTATTACAGCAACTGGCTCATTAGCAATGATTAAAATGTGTTTGGGAGGGATTTATTTGATTGTGAAAAAACAACCACTGAAGTCTTAATTCAGTTCCACATAAGTCATTTCAGTGCCTAAGACTGCCTCATAAGACCACCACTGTTCTGCACTGAAGTTTCTATGTAAGATTTTGCATGAATTGCAAAACATGCTACTAAAATAGCATTTCCAGCAGGACAAGGGAAATTCTTGGAATATATGCAAATACCTGAAATGTAATCAACAGCTACAGTCTTAAGCCACATTGAATCAGTTCCAGTTAGTTCTTTTCTTCTATACCACAGCTACTTGCTTTTGGCACCACGAAAAGCAGTTTCTACACAATGTAGCTTTAATTTAAAAGTTATTTTTTATATTTCACAGTGTAACAGGACCCAGAAGCTCTAAATGTGGGTGAGAGGAGCAGATTCCATCCCACTTAACAGTGGAACAAGTCTGAGCACTCCTCACAAAACTGAATGTGTATATAAATCCATGGGGCCGGATGATATCCATCCCAAGATTCTGAAAGAGGTGGCTGGTGTGGTTACTGAGCCCCTCTCCATCATATTTGAAAAATCATGGCTGTCTGGTAAAGATCCTGTTGACTGGAAAAAGGGAAGCATTACTCCAATTTTTAAGAAAGGGAGAAAGGAAGACCCGGGGAACTACAGGCCAGTGAGCCTCACTTTTGTGCCTGGGAAGATCATGGAGCAGATCCTCCTAGAAGCTATGTTAAGGCACATATATGAGATAAAGAGGTGATTCAAGACAGCCAGCATGGCTTCACCAAGGGCAGATCTTGCCTGATCAATCTGGTGGCCTTCTGCGATGGAGTGATTCAGTGCGGGGGAAGGGCGATGGATGTCATCTACCTGGACTTCTGCAAAGCCTCTGACAATGGTCCCTGAGCACATCCTTCTCTCTAAATTGGAGAGGTATGGATATGAAGGATGGACTGTTGGATGGATTGGGAATTGGTTGGCTGGATGCAGCCAAAAGGTTGTGATCAATGGTTCTGTGTCAGGGTGGAAGCCGGTCTTGGGACCAGTGCTCTTCAGCATCTTCATCAGTGACACAGATGATGGCATCAAGTGCACCCTCAGCTGAGCGGTGCAGTCGATACACTGGAGGGAAGGGAAGCCATCCAGAGGGACCTGGACAGGATGGAGAAGTGGCTTCTGAAAACCTAATGAACTTCAACAAGGCCGCATACAGGGTGCTGCAGTTGTGCCGGGGCAATCCCAGGTATTTATACAGACTGGGGGAAGATCTCCTTGAGAGCAGCCCTGCAGAGAAGGACTTGGGGGTCCTGGTGGATGAGAAACTGGACATGAGCCAGCCACTAAGATGATCATAGGGCTGGAGCACCACTCCTGTGAGGAAAGATTGAGGGAACTGGGCTTGTTTAGCTTGGAGAAGACAAGGATCCAGGGAGACCTCACTGTGGCCTTCCAGTACTTTAAAGGAGCATATAAACAGGAGGGGGAATGGTTGTTTATGAGGGTGGATAGTGATAGGATAAGGGGGAATGGGCTTAAACTGAGACAGGGGAGGTTTAGGTTGGATATTAGGAGGAAGTTTTTCACCCAGAGGGTGGTGAGGCAGTGGAACAGGTTGCCCAAGGAGGCTGTGGATGCCCCATCCCTGCAGGCATTCAGGGCCAGGCTGGATATGGCTCTGGGCAGCCTGGTCTGCTGGTTGGTGACCCTGCACATAGTAGGGGGTGTTGAAACTACATGATCATTGTGGTCCTTTTCAACCCAGACCATTCTTTCTGTGATTCTACAATAATCTAAAAATTAATCGTGCTCTCTGTAGTTTGTTTCTTCACGCATGAAAACAACATTCTCACACCATACTCATGCTTTAGCCTCATGACTCTGTTCTTTTGCAAGACACCCAACATCTCCTCTCCATCCTCCTTGTTTCACACAGCAGCTTTTCCAGACTTAATTCCCCAGTCTCACCTTCCTCATAGCAGAACCATTCCTGATCACAAACACTATTCTCACCTACCATGTGTGAACCATCTCTCAACTACTCACTCAAAACAGCTTTTGCAGATGAAGGAAGAGAAGCAATTCAAGGACGCCATCAGGCGTGAACACCCTTGCATCTTGCACACATAGGTAAGCTCCCTGGCCCGTACTTTCCCTTTTCTTGAATACTGTGTTTATTATCATTTAATTGTTTATAAATTTATTGAGACTAAAATGCCTGAATGGACATGGAAGTGTTTTCATTTTTTCCTGATTCTGAACGCATCTAGTCGCAAGTGACAACTCATTTTGAGTAACAATTGTCATTACTACTGCTGAATAGTAATAGAGTCTAGTAATCTAAGCACAATTGTTCTGCTAAGTAAGCTGCCACTTTCTGAGTAAAAAAAAAAACCAACAAAAAAACAGAGTCCAGCCTCACATGTCTTGATTATACACTTTCACCAAGAAGGAATGGAGTAACATAACATTTAACAAAACTAAGTTAAATGCAGAACTACAAAAAATAGTGCATTTGTTAATGTCATGGAAAAGGACAATTAACCCATTTCAACTCCAGAGATCAAATAAATTAAAAAGAAAGGATACAACATCTATCATGGATTCAGTGAAAAACAGCTGTTACTGAAATAATAGACTAGCCTTCAGAGCATAAGCAGATCATCTTTTCGTACAGAGGGCAATAGGCTGCTCAGTAATTCTTTGTATAGGTGACTTTGCCAGGTGGGACCCATGGAAAAGGCACTTCATTCCTGTGCACAGCATGGAGGTTCTTCTGCTTCTTCTGAAGTTGCTCTCTCCTCAACGTGTTTCCCTGAGAACAAAACATTATGTCAAATAAAAGAACTCTAGCAATTGAAAAGTCAGAATTGTTGCTGCATCTTTCATGTGAAGTAAAACACAATAGGGATTGGCCATTTGGAGTTTCACAAATCCCTCTAAGGATTCAGCACCCACGCACACTGCACAGTGAAACACAGAGGCATTGTAACATGTGATGTTATTTGCAGGTGAAGTGACAGTCTCACAGATGAGATGGCTTTCTATGCCTTCTAAACAAAAAACACAAGAGAAGGCCTGGCGGATTAGGTACTACGTCTGTCTCGAATTGTGGCAGTTGGACAGATCTACACAATAGGAAAGGCATAACAAAGGTGTGAAAAGAACTGGCACAACAGAGAGGTCCTATAAAAGGAGACTATTCAACCATATCAAAAGATTCTAGGTTTACAAGAAAAAGTTTAACTAAGAACAGATCTCCAGAAAAAGATCCTTCCCCAGTGCCAGTCAGCCCTTAAATGAAAACTAAGAAAGGTGGAGCCAGGCTTCCAGTCACACAGCTGAACTGCCTTCACCTGTGCTCCCAGGGCTGACCCAGTCCTTTCCCAGGTGCTCAATCAGAGGTTCAGGCTGTGACTCAGTAGTTCCCATACACTCCACCCCTTCACAGTATGAACATTAAATGACTGAGCCAGCTGGAGAGCGAGCCTTCCCTAATACAGGGATCCAACACACCCTAACACTTATACAGCTGCCCATTGCAATGCAGGTTGACACAATGTAAGACAGTTGATGATTGGTTTGTGGTTGGGGTTCATGTTCTCTCACGGGCCAGAGCTTGATGGTGTTTCTGGAGGCATGCAGTTGTTTGCTGCAGGTCCATCCTATGTTCCATCAGTCCCACACAGGCCATCACCGGGTGTTGTGCTTGATGTCACAGCGACGCTGGAACGCTTCCATGGCATTTCATCCTTCTGGTGATCCTAGAGACTCAGAGACTCATGGAGCGTAGTACAGATGTTTCAGAGGGGAAGGTCTGCCCTCCAGGGCAAAATACAGGCTGTATTCCTGCCCTGGGTCAACACTTCAGCTTACACTGGGGCATGTCCCAGCCACCTGTACCTCACCCTTTGGCCAGATATCTGTGGCTGCATAACTATATCAGGCACTAAAGGGGGTCCTGATCTGCCATAGGGACATGATGAGGATCCCCTTAGTAATGAAGACCAGGGTGTTGACCACAACGACTGCAGGCCACGTACCTATTACCAGGCAAATGACTGATTCCCCAACCTCCAATAATCTCCTCCAAGGCACAAGTGGGCCACACCATTATGGTCTACTTGCACCTTCCAAGGCCATTCTATTGGTGCCATTCTATGGGTACCTGGTTCTAGATTCTCAGGGACAGGAAGCAGAAGGTTATTTTCATTGCCAATTTGGGGTCTTACCCAACTATCGGTGCCCGTAATTTGGATCCTAAGCAGGGAAGCCCATGTTGTCTGTAGCATTCTCAGGGCACAGAGTCTGCCGTCTCTAGTGCTTTCAATCAATCATACTATATCTTCCTTCTGCTCCATGCCAGACCTGAGACCAGAACCCAATGAGGGTCCAAACAGAACTCTGGCATTGCAACAGGCCCCAGCCAAACCCATCCTGAGTTACATGGACTTCTAGTTCGGCTGGAAGGGTGGGACCAAATTCACCCAATGCCTGGACTTGTTTAACTGCCAGTTTGGTCTGCTGGAAAGCCTTGTGTTCCATTCTCCCCCAGCCCCACAGTTGCCCCTTTTTCCTGAATGTGTATAATGGTCTCAGTAGATGTGCTAAGTGATGTATAAAGGAACACCAATATTCCAACATACCTAAGAGCTCCTGCAGCTGCTTTGGTGCTGTAGGGACTGGGAATGCCTGAACCTTATCTATTACAGCACTGGGTAGTACTTTGGTCTTTTCTGACCAAACCATCCCCAGGAATTTCACAGACAGGCCGGACCTTGCACCTTCTGAGAATTTATATCCCATCCTCTTCCAGTCAATGAATCTGCCACCTGTCCTACTGCCTCCAGTGAGTCAGATGTCAACAAGAATCATCAGTATAATGATATAAGCTACCATTAGTAGGTTTTTCCCAATTAGCCAGGTCACATACCACTAGATTATGGCAATATATTGGCAAATGCATGTACCCATATGGCTGGACCTGAAAGGTCCACTGCCTGCCTCCCCAAGTAAACGCAAACTGGTCTTGTGATTCTTCAATTGGAATACTGAAGAATGCATTTGCCAAGTCTAGGATAGAGTGATTGGTTTTTATCTCAATGTGTCCATTAAGGAGGCAATATTAAGTATGGCCACACAAACAGGTGGCGTGATCTTATTTAATACTCTGTAACCTACTGTCATTCTCCATGTTCCATCTGACTTTCACACTGGCCATATGGGAGAATTATACGGGATACGTGCAGGTCTTATAATCCCAACTTCCTGCTACAAGGGTACATGCATTTACCAACCTACTGTCATAACTTAGTGGCACATGACCTAGCAGAGTGGAATAATCGTAACAACATAAAACTGTACCACTATATTGCTGATCTCCTGTTGATATCTGACTCACTGGAGGCATTAGAAAAGGTGGCAGACTCATTGACTACTCCTTTGCAAAAGGAAGGGTAGGCTATACACCCACAAAAAGTGCAAGGACCAGGCTTGTCGCTGAAATTTCTGGGTGTAATTTGGTCAGGAAAGACCAAAATACTACCTAGTGAAATAACAGACAAGGTTCTGGCGTTTCAAGTCCTCACTATGCCAAGGCAGTTGCATGAATTTTGGGGTATATTAAGATACTAGCGTTCCTTTATATCCCCGTCCAGTGCAGCTGCTGAGGCCTTTGTATTGACTCATGAAGAAAGGACAAAAATAGGACTGGGAGAGAACAGAAGCAGCATTCCAGCAAGCAAAACTAGCTGTTAAACAGGCCCAGGCACTGGGTATATTTGATCCCAGCCAAACTAGACATCCATGTAACTCAGGATGGGTTCAGCTGGGGACTATGGTAGCGTCAAAATTCCATTTGAACCTCAGTTGGGTTCTGGTCTCAGGTTTGGCATGGAGCAGAAGAAAGATACAGTATGATTGAAAAGCAATTACTGGCTAGTTATTCCACATTACAGGCTGTGGAGCCAATAACCCAAACAGCTGAGGTCATAGTTAAGACCACCCTGCTGATTCAGGGGTGGATGAAAGATCTGACCCACCTTCCTAAGACGGGGGTGGCCAAAGAACAAACAGTGGCACGACAGGTTGCCTATCTTAGCCAGGAGTAGTCTATCTTCATCACCACTGAAAGAAGATCCTAGGCCCAGTGATATATCACAGTGATGCACCAAAAGAAACACTGGTCACTCCATCAGAGAAGAGTCCCATTCAGGATGGGAAATATCTCATTCCTAAAGATGCCTGGTACATGGATGGGTCCAGCAAGGGCAACCCAAGCAAGTGGAGAGCAGTAGCTTGCATCCCTCCACTGAAACAATCTAGAATGAAGAAGGGGATGGTCAGAGTAGCCAACAGGCAGAACTGCGAGCCCATAACCATAACTGGATGGTTATAACCAAGGAACCCAGTGATTGTATTCTGAATATCTGCACAGATAGTTGGGCTGTGTACCAGGGGCTCACTCTTTGCACTGCACAGTGGGCCACCCAGGAATGGACTATCCATGCCTGACCAATCCGCAGAGATATGTGGTTAGACATATGGCACATGATTAAACACAAGACTGTACGTGTCTACCACACTTCTGGTCACCAACCCTTTCAGTCACAGGGAAATGACAAAGCTGACACACTGGCCTGAATTTGATGGGTTGAGAATTCACCATCTGAGTATACTGCAGGCTGGCCCGTAGATATCATGGTCAACACTCCAGTTTTCATCACTAAAGGAACTTGAATCATGCCCCTCTGGCAAATCTGGACTTCTCCTTTGGTACCCCATATAGGTATGCATCCTCAGATATCAAGACAAAGGGTACAGATGGCTGGGACATGCCAAGCCAAAGTGTTGACCCAGGACAGAAAGGGGGACTGTATCTTGCCGTGGAGGGCAGACCTAGCCTTCTGGTATCTCTGAAACATCTATGCTACTCCCCGTGAGTCTCTTTGTGTCCACAGGATCACCAGGAAGACCAACATGACATCAAGATGCTCCAGTCTCACTATAAGATCAGTGTGACACCTGGTGGTGAACTATATGGCACTGATGGAATGTGAGCCAAACCTTCTGTGGTCCAAGCAACGATGTGCCACCAGGAGAACCACTGAGTACTAGCCCTCAAAGGACATGAACCTCAACCAAGAATCAATCATCAATCATCTTATATTTTTGTCAATCTACACCGTGACAGGCAAATTGTACAAAGCACTGCAGTATATTGGATCGCCATAATGGAAAGGGCTTACCTTCAACCTGCTCAATCACTGGTTCATGCTGTGAAGGGGTGGAGTGTAGCAGAAATGCTAAGTCATAGCCTGAAACAGTGATTGAGCACCTGGTGGAAAGGGAGGGCCAACCCAGGGAAGCTCAGATGCATGCAGTGCATCTGAGTGACTGGAAGGGGTGGAAACAGGATCTACCCCTTCCCAGATCTCATTTGAGGGTTGGCAGTGGAGGTGAGGGCATCTCTTGCTGGAGATCCCTGCCTACCTGAGGCTTTCCAAAGGTAAGCAGCTCTTTGTTTTCATTTTTGCAGCTGCTGCATTTGGGCTTACTCTCATTTGCTGTAGCCATACTTTTGTCATTCTGCCTTCCATCCCATTATATCATTACTCCTGGAAACTCCTAAGATCACAGATTCTTGAAGGTTGGAAAACATCTTTAGAGGTCATCTAGTCCAAAAGCTAGAGCAGACTGCACAAGACTTTTTTTTTTTCTGTTAGTCATACTGAGAAGACAAATAGTGAGACGAGGGAATAGACAGATAAATGGGCGTAGACATGTTATTGTGAAAGAGGGAGCAAGAGAGGAATCTTTCATTAAAACTTACTAATACTAACTATACTTGTGTTATGTACAAAAAATAAGCGTATAAAATACTCTGAAATATCAGCTCTGTTGCTAGTGCTTTTAACATGTGACCTCCAGGTTTTTGTTTATGTAAATCTTAAGATCCAATTCAATTAAGAATACCTGGTCTGGCTAAACCAACACATAATTATTTCATGTTATTACTAGTGAAACTGATTATAAGCAAGGCAGGTTTGCATGAAGTAGCAATACAGAACTTAATTACAATTAGTCTATTAAATAATATTATCTCTGTAGAACTGTATCTTCCTGGACTATAAGGGACAACTAAAACAAACTGGGCTCAATGAGCGCTGTAAGATTTTGACTCTTTTCTGAAAGAGAAAAAAATCCTGAACTTTTGCCTCCTTCCTCCTTTCAGAGAGATCTTCCTTGGATGCACGTAACTAGTGTTGCCTTGTTTTTTCAAATTATTTCAAGGTATTTTTTTCAGGAATTCTTAGAGGGAACCAATTAGCATCCCTAATGGAAAAGAAATCTGCAATGCCAGCCATGATATTGAATAAAACCAAAAATAAACAAACAAAGACAACATATGAGCAAGCAGTTCAGATAAACTTTAGAAGAGTATTCTGTATTACAGTGCTGTACGATTCACGTTCCTCTTGGGAGTATTTTCATGGATCTTGCAAATGTATTTTTACAAGAACCTATTATAATATATAGAATATATAAAGAGTATATAGAATCCATAGAGTATATAGAATCTATATATATTCTATAATCTACCAATTAGAGAATCTGGGTCTATATTTGACATTGAAAGACACATTCAGACAGGCAATTAGAAACTCATTAAAAAAATAAGCCTTATTGTAGTAGTACTGGCAATTGCTTGGGGATCTTAAAGAGAAGTGTGCATATTTCATGTTTATAAAGCACTCTTTAATGAACATATGTTACAACACTGATTTGCATATGAAAATTCCAAACCAAAAGTGAAGGTTAATTTTCCTACTTCTTGTAAGGGTCATAACCTTACTGTATTAATTTTTGAGAGTTGTTAATCTGAAAGAATGCACTGAGCAGCCCTTCAACACAGCTAGGTCAGCATTTACCAGGTGTAACAGAGAACATAACACATCTGGGATACTTGCTTTGTTTTCTAGATTCTTACAGACAGCAAAGAAGTCAAACACACAACGAGAGGCTGCATTCATGCATTCCTACAGCAATACTGATGGAGGATAGTTTATGTATTCAGAGCATACCTTGACAAAGCGTTAGCTTCTACTGAAAACAAAATCCTTCCTTCCTTTAGAACCAGAAATACTGGTTAACTAAGAAAGAATCTAACGTTGGACACTAATCACTGGACAAAAATGAGCTGGAAAGCATAATACAAATGGACCAGAGAAAACATTTCTAACCGATGATTACAGGAATCAAGAGGTATACCAACAGGGAATGAGGACAAGTACAATCTTAAAAGACTTAAGACTTAGACTAAAAAGATCTGAAATAAACAGGAAAGCATGTAGGCAGCTGCTGCTTATTTATGTAGCAGAGAATTTGTAAGTTAGCTAAAGGATGATTACCCTTCAAAAGGTATCCCACACCTACACAGCTACTGTCTGTCTCAGTTGTTAAATAAGCCCAGTTAAAAAAAGAAAAAACACAGAAAACCTACTTGAGATTCTGGAAAACGACTCCTTTTTAGGCTATTGATGGTGTAAGTGAGCTGCTGCAAGGACTTACACCAGCTGAGCTGCAAGATCCCATTCTTATAAATGGGAACAGTGCCCTTACATATGGACTGTATGCCACAAATCACAAGGAAGAAAGACAACACAAGAAATGCTTTCAAAAAAAAAAACACCCTTAGAAGTCAACACACTGAAAGTCTGTGTCATAGAGCAAGCATGGAAAAAGCAGGTATTTTTTGAACCAGCAAGTAATACAACTATCAAGAAAACATTTTATGCTAAGAGTATCAGCAAACTCTCCTAGTTTGCATAAGGAAAACTGTATTTCCTTAATCTGGAATAAGAATTGTAGATTAATTTAAAGCTTAACAACTGGGACTAAAGTTCCCTGTTGTAGGGAAAATATAAATGGCAGCATTAGAGTTCCATGCTTTCTAGTCAATGAAAATCTCAAACTTCAGTAAAAAGACTTTTACCCATCTTGTGGCACAGAATTCTCCACTTTAAATGCTTTCTCAAATGTAAATGTATACACTGTTGCAACTGGTACTGCTGCCAGGTTTTGCTGGTTTTGTGGTGTAGTGAACTAGCCCTTCAGAGATGGCTGTTCCTGACAAAGAATAGAAGAAAATACTGTGGAATGTGAAACTCCAAGTCCCAAGTAAGTAGAGAAAATATATTTTTCATATATGCTGAAGTTCCAGCACACCATACTTCATTATTTTGCTCAAAAAGTTTTGGGGACTAGCTATGTAATACTGCCATCATCTGGTCTCTCCTGGTAACACCACAAAAAAGCCCAGGAATTCTAAAATGCAAAGTATTCACACTCATTACTACATTCATTTCTTTGATTTTTATACAGTGTAAAACATATATATATTACCAGCCATCTTTCATATTCTTCTCTGGCCATTTTATCTTTTTCATCCTTCTCTGCCTGTTGTATTTCTTTTTTTCTTCTCTCTATAATTTTTTCTGCCTTCTTTTGTTTCATATATTCTTTCTTTTTATCATTCCTGTGAAAAGGATGAACAGGAAGTCATTTTTCAACCATCTAAATGCAGTATCTGTGACTGATTAACTAAATTGATTTCAAAGAGCTATTTTATGCATTTAATAACAGATTAACAACAAACATATGTAAAATCTTTGATGCCCATCTTCATGTATGATATCACCAAGGTATATGTAGCTTGCTCTGAAAGCAATGCCTCCTACTTATTTCCATGGAATCAGCAGTTACTGTTGAGTCATGGCCTGAACTACTGATTGATCACCTGGGGAAAGGACCCAGTCTGCCCTGGGAGCACAGGTGAAGGCAATTGAGCTGTGTGATCAAAAGGGCAGGGCCTGGCTGCACCCCTCTTAGACCTCATTTAAAGGCTGACTGCCACTGGGGAAGGATCTCTGGTTGGATATCCCTCCCTTGTGGAGTCTTTCCTGTGAGCCTAGATCTTAGGAGATGGGTGAGCACCTTTATTTTTCCTTTGTAACACCAGTCCATCTGTAGTAGCCCCTTTGCTATTACACTCCTGTATCAACCTTCTACTGCATTAATCTTTCCAATTGTAACAGATACAAAAAAGCACAATCACTATTTGATACAGCAAATTTTCAGCTACAGAATGCTATTTAGTAACACAGTCACCACCATTAGCTAACTGGTGCAGATGAGCTGCCTGAGATGCTATTTGCTCTGTGCACGGTTGTCCCAAATGTGGCTTGTCTTTTCCAATGCTGTTACCATGGCTGAAACACACCACCTGCCACTCACTGTGCCCACATTCACTGTTTGGTCACTATGTGCCATTTTTTCCTCATGAAGGAATTCAGTGATAAACATTTGCTTCATACACACTTTCACGTCAGATGCCATTTTGTCAGACTGCCCCTCTGCTGCCATCAGTCACACAGCAACAACATGTAACAATATACTGGTGGGCACATTTAAACTCTACTGCCATACCACCAACATCAACTTCTGACTTTGGTGGCCAACAGGCTAAAATAGAAGGTATTACTTCTTGAGCAGCCCTCATACATGAACTTACTCTTCTACCTATTATGATATCATCTTATCTATACTACTTTCTTATGTTGTCATATAAAAATAGATTTAAAAGTTGTGCAGGTAATAGTAAGTTGCCCATGTAAGTCTCTGAAGACTCTTGGCTTCTAAAACTAACAAAGAATTTCTCCAGCAGATACATCTTATTTGCTTTTGAATACACCTACATTCATATGCTGTACTACAAAAGCTTGAAGATCTACCTCCCTTCCCATTGCTTAGTAATGAAGCACAATACTAGTCATGTAAGACTTAATACTAAGTGAATCCTACTTATCAGTTGCTGTATCTCTGCCAGGGCTGAGACAGCTGTCTTTTGGGGAAGAAAGAGTCTAAGTTACTAAAATGAAAGAAGCCACAGGCCGTTCTCACAGCTGTGCTTATTAGATCTGACTGAAAAGCTTGTTCCCAACCACACCACTGTTCCTCAGTCGACAGCATATCAAACACTACAGACAACCTGTTAAGCAAAATTTTGGACGGTGATACTCCAAAACCCAAAAGGAGGTACCATTTTTCAACTGCTGATATGCTGTCTCTCTTCTTTTCTGCAGCTAATTCCTCTTCTTTTTTCTTCCTGATTCTTTCAGACTGTTCTTCCTGTCTGCCTTTCTCTCTCAAATATTCTATTTTTTTCTCTTTCCATTTTTCAAATGCCTAAAGGAAATAACAGATTAATTAGCAATCTTATCCCTCATCTCTGTGTCAATATTCTCTTCCCTTATTCAGAATTATTTTTTATATTTCTTTACTTTCAAATTTTGTTATTTGCTGCATTGCTCAGAATGGGATCTAACTCTATCTAAAATGAGTAAATTATTTTCCCCAGTAAGTCTTAACTCTTTGCCTATGTATATATACAGAGTTCATTTTACATGCAGCTGACAGAATCTTATATGACTAAGATTGCCTGTTTGCATATTAATGTCATACAGCAAGAAAGAAAAAAGATAGAAGTGCTTAGGAAATGGATCTTAAAGATCGTCTAGTTCCAACCCCAAAATGAAGTTGTTTCTACTCCAGCACCCATCTCAAATGTCTAGGAGGACCACTGCCTCTAAATCCTCATAACACGGAAACCACCACCTCAGGGCTGCAGGGCCTTCTGAAGTAGCTGCACGTTTTCAGCAGAACACAATCTCACAGTACTCTATTCAATGACTAACCACGTTCAGATTTTGGAAATGAAGTGGATTCCATCTCTTGCTGGATTAACCAAGTTATCCTCAACAATTCCCTAAATCACATCTGATATACATTTATCTACATACTTCACATTACCTTCTGTGCTGCTTCTGCTCTCTCTGCATTCTGTTCTGCTGCTTCCTTTTCCTTAAGTTTCTCAAGCTTCTTTTTTTCATTCAACTTCTTTGCTTCTCTTGCTTTCATTGCTTTCCAGGATTTAAAAGATGCATTTGCTTCCTCTCTTTTAACAGCTTCTTTCTAGATCAAAAAATACCATTTTCAATTTAAGTACATTTGAATATAAAATACAGCTATAATTGAAAACATTTGCTTTGAATTAATTCTCATACACAGATTAATATAATAAACAAAGAAATGGAAATAGATTTGTAGAAAATACTCCAAATGAAGTATGAACTATACACTCCTACGTTCATTTTTAACTAAATTTACTCAAATCTATATAAAATTATATAAACTACTCCTGCAAAGTGTGTGGAAGAACATGAAATACATATTAAATGCTCAAAAGGAAAGCCTGTTTAATACTGAAAAAACAGATCCACGAACTACATATTCAAAAAGTAGAAAAGTATCCCTTGAGATAGTGAGCAAACTAATTTTCCAACAGAAGATATGTTAGAACTTAACACTTGAATGGATGAGCATCCTGAGGTCTTTGTGGACAAACTTGAAAATTAATCCAAGACTACTTCTAATATAACTGGTGTAAAGCACGCATGTTTGTATGTTTCTACAGGAAATCACTAGCCTTGTACTCTTTAGAACAATCACAACAAGCCACTTTGTTTCAACTCACTCTATTCTAGAGAAAACCAGTAACCATATAATAGGAGAGTGATGTAATTTGCAGAAAGCACAGGTCAACATACTTTAAAAAAATGATAGTTTGTCCACTTCGCTTAAATCAAGAGTGTAAACAAACCTTTTCAGTATCATTCCTCAGCTCTTCAGCTTTTTTCTTTTCAGCTCTCTTTAATTCCAGTAGTAAGGCTCTTTTCTTTTCCATCCAGTTCTGTAAGAATCATTGGAAGACATATATTTTGAAGTGTTTTTAAGCTGTAACTAAATAAGTTCCATATGCAACTAATGAATATTATTAGAGCAGTACCAGTATAACGACCACCAAAATGACTCCCAATTCTTCCACTTGCTGCTGCAGTAATTATCCCATGTGGAAAAAATAAGCCGTGGTTCAAATCACAGTGATCTAAGCACCTTTGGCACATTTTTTTTCGTGTTCAAAAATGTCTAAGAATCTACAATAATAGCTACAACTATGGAAAAACCTTATGGACCTTTAAAATCTTTTAAAAACATAAAATGAAATTCTACACAGAATACATAGATTATCGTTCCAGAGAGAATGCCAGATGTGTTTTTACTTTTAAAGGAATCTTAAACTACTTACTTTTGCTCAAGAAAAAGTAAAAATAAAGGAAATCATCTTATGTATCTGAGAATAATCTGACATAACAATAAATTATAAAACACTGCATACCTCTCATTCAGTTCATTAGTTCATAATTTGATGAGAAAACGTGACCAACAGAAGAAGAAGATTACTATATGTAAGCATATGCAAGCAACATCATTAGAAAGACTGACTTAACAAAAGCAAGCTGGATCCTCCAACTAGACCTTCATATGCACAGGGGTTTTTTGTTTGTTTTTGTTTTTTTTAAGATCTACCTGGAAAACAGCTGCTCGCAAACTATCTGCTCTGTCAAATTCTGTACTGTTCTTCTGCAAGTGTTTATCCTCTAATACCTTTAACGTTCCCAAATAGTGAGGTGGAACAGTTGTAGCTGATGGAACAGCTTTCACTTTTTCCTTCAAGTGTGCAGAAGGCAGAAACCTACAAAGACACAGACATTATTAAAGATCCTTGTATTTATTGTAACTGATAGCAAGTAATGTTCCTTTTTTTCCACCAGAAGTTACTGTGGCTGTAGCTGCACTTGTGTGGGGACAGGAAAAGAAGGAAGCCTGTTTTCTTTGGACAACTTATTATTATTGACAAAACAATCTGTTACTCAACATATTCAGATCAACAGCATTTACAAGCTTCTTATATTTACACCTATTAAATTAAAAAATGCTTAAAATCTGTCAAGATACCATGGGCTGGACTCACTGGTTAAGACATTAGCACAAACTCATTATACACACTGGCAAAAGACTTGGAGTCTAATTTTAGCAGGAATTACAATAACATGCCTCATCTTCTCTCTACAGATAGCCAGAGGTTGTTAGCAATTTAGAAATTGTTGATAGATTTTGAGTTCAAAGTGATATTGTCACAGTACTTAGATATACCCTATGCCCTGTAAACTGTGATATGTAGCATAATCCTCTTACTTGCAAGATGAGGATTTTGAGCTCTGTTGAACTACTTTCATTGTTCCACTTTGTTTCTAAGAAACAAAAAGGAAAGGGAAAATTGTAGTCTCTCGGGTAACAGAACTAGATTATGATGACACAGATTTTGAAAGCTAACATGTTAAGTATGTTAATATGCCAAATATATGCACAAGAAAGCCACTCAAATACAGCACAGGTACAGTACAGGCTACAAAAGTTTAAAAAACAAAAAAAGAAACTAAAACAAACACCTTTTGGAATGTTTGGAACAGTAGTTAGTATGTAGAAGTCTATAGTTCAGAGACAAGAAGCAATAAAAACAACCTGGCTGAGCAGTGGGTTTCCCTGCTACAACAACAGTAATTGTTTTTAATATTTAGCTTTAGCAGTTACATACATCCACATATTTTCTTTCTTACAGTAAGGCCTAAAGTGCTTTGTATCTTATTTGTTAATCAAGTCATGCAATGGATTCCATTCTCTGCCAACATACGCTGCTCATTTCAACTCAGAATAGAGATTTGACGTTTTTACTTCAATAAGGTTATTAAACTCAGACTTGAAAACACATATTTCACTAACTTTATCACCTTTAAACCAACAGTGCAAAAAGTGTTCCCTGTCCCTTCAGAAAGGTATTCCCTACGTCTTCCTTAAAAATAATTTATGTGAATCTTGGGTCCCAAAGTTTTATAAGCTGAGTTTTAAACAGTAAAGGAACCAACAGTAAATTCATTTACAGAACCTTTCACTGCATTTCTAGGACATTCTTCTGAACAATGGTAAAAATGCATGCAAAAAATACCTGCCCAGAATCCTTTGAAGTGTTCTTCACCTCCCCACGTTCAGACTGACCGTCCACTGATAATTCTTGTATTGTAGCAGTTTCTATTGGCTCTTGCACAATTCCCTCCTTATATGAACTGTCATCTGTTGACCTCTCTAACTTTGTTTTCTCGTGTACTGTGGTGGTCATTGCTTCTATCACAGCAGCGGGTTTGCTACTATTATCCTCCACTGACAGTTTCATGTCACTGATGTTGGTATCTTTCTTCTCATCTAGTGGAAGTAAACAGATGAAGCGGACACATTCATATGTTGTCTAAGTGAATAAGAATTCTGTAGCACAGAAAGAACAATACTGAGAAACTAAAAACAGTTGTCTATGAAACTTATTACTAAATTTGATATTGGACAATTTATTTTCTGTATACGTCCTCATAAGAACAATATGGACTAATGACAACAATACTCATTTACACCGAAACATATGATTGGACTAGCAAGATAAAAGCTTTAGCAAATGTTATAGAATGTAAGAGAGTACAAGAACAGCCAAATTTCCCAATTTTCTCTCCACTCAAATACATTTCTAGTGCAGCAATCAAAAAATAAGAGCCATTTCAATCACATAAGAACTCTTCCGACATCTAGTCAACTACCAGTTTCTAAGACACAGTTCTACCACATTTCAAAAACAGTTTCTAAATGCCTGGGACAACACTGGACTTAGATATAACTGCAAGAATAAGGCCAGGCCCTTCACAGAAGCAGAACACAAGGAGACACACAAGGGCAAGAGAGTAGAAAGGTAATTAAGAAAACTGCCAGATTTAAGACTTGTATTGGAATCTTAGATGCTACCAAGGCATAAGCAATGACACTCATCTGGTTTTCCATACTTAAGTCCTACCTTTTTCAGGTGGTGCTTCTCCACACAGTAATGAATTGGAGTCTCCAGATCTCTCATTGGGTGGAGTAGAGGAAGATGATGGTGAAGTACTTTCTAGACATGGACCCTTAGATCAGAAAGTGGCAAATAGATGAGAGGGCAATTCATAACAACTGAGAACTATTTATCTTGAGTTCAAAATACACTGATAGAATATTTCTTCAGAACTCTCTAAGTACTGGTACTGCCTTATATTCAGAGAAATCAAACCAATCAATAGATTTCTTAAAGGCTGCAAAATATCACAAAATCCTGTTTCTTGTTAGAAAGAAAAAGAATGATGTTCTTTTATCAGCCATCACTATAAGAATAGTGCTGGCAAAGATTTTTCCTCACTCCTATTTTTCTTACAGAAAATTTTGATAGCTAAATGAAAGTTGCTATCAACAGCTTCCACCGTAAATTGTAAAAATAAAATAACATAAACACGTACGTTCTCCATTTACACTCTTTCTTTAGGACTAAGAGTCTCTGGCAACCACTGTTTTCTTGGGTGAGGCATTCAGAGTAGCTATGGACAACAGCATCTAAAATGAAGACAACACATTTCTAGGAGTTATTTTTCTGTCTGACCTACTAAGCTCAATGTCCTTCATGTGACCAACTTTTCCCAATACACTTCTTGGTTGAGCTGATGTTTTGTAACAGCCACCTAGCGAAGGAACGTTGACATTCTTAGATGAAGATGAGCAGTATGGTTTAACTTGCATCTAACTAAATACATGTTAGTTTGAATTATTTTGTGAAGTTAGATTCAACCATTTTCAGTTAAGTAAGCTATTTAAATAATAGTACATTCTATCTCAACATGGGGAGGGGGCAAATATAAACAGCTATATAAACTTACTTGCATTCTTTGAGGAAGTTTAAGGGAAGTTTCTAACATAATCACACATAAACAGACGATCTAGAAACTTTGTTTTTCCATTTACTGCTATCTCCGTGCATATGTTGAAACTACATGCAAGAACTCATCTCAGAGAGTTAGAATTATTTCCACAACCAAAAATTTATCTCAAACAGCACTGTTACAGTGAAACCTTTCTGTAACCTTGCTTAACTCCCTACTAGAGAAGACACGAAGGGAAGATTGCAGAACAGAAAAACCCCAGGTAGGAGACGGCACGAGAGACGCGATCAGAGGAGGGCTCTCGGGGCACGTCCACCTCCTCCAGTGATGCTCCCGTTCCTTCCCTCAGCCAGCCGCTGAGCAGCAGGACTACAGCAACAACACCGCCGTGCTTTTTTTTCACCTGATGCGAAGTCATTGCTTGGCTTACACGCCCTTAGCTCTGATTAGCTCCTTCCCATGCCGCGACATTTGCCCCCCTTTTAATACAGTATCAACTGCTTCTCGTAGCAGTTCTGAAAGTTTTGCAAATAACTCTCACGTAGAAGATTCACCGCCGAGTCAGCGCTAAACCCCTCCGCACCCCGCCGCCGGCTCACCTCAGCCGAGGCGCCGTCCCACGACATGGCGACTCCCGCCCGCCCCTTCCGCTGCACTGTGTGAGGAGACAAAGGAGGCGGGGCGGGCGGGCACGGCGGGCTCCGCGGGGCGGGCGAGGGTTGGAGGCACGCCCTGCCTGAGGAAGCTGAAATAGGACACGTGTAGGACGTAAAAGCAATAAAAAAGTCGAGCCGTTCTTTCTCTGCGGCAGCGTAACTGCGAGTGCTGCTGCTGCAAGGCGAAGTTCTCTCCACGTGACGAGCGTCTGAGGTGCTCGTTTTATTAAACTCCAGAAGGTGGCAGCAAAATATTTTGAGACAAAATATCTGGTTTATTTGTGATGCGTCCGCTTGAATTATTTGAGTTTCTTCCGTCTTAACGATGATGTATGTGGCACTTTTAGAAAGACGTTGCATTCATTTAGAACAGTTTTCCAGCTTTGCGTGCTCTGTGTAGAAGGGATTATCTTATTATTATCTTTATGGTTTTTGTCAGAAGGCATGAGCATCAGGGCTACATCTGGCAGTCTTAGCTCAGGCAAAATAGCATAGGAGGTATTCAGGGAGCATATAAACAGGAGATGGTCAGAGGGCTGGAGCACCTCTCCTATGAGGAAAGGCTGAGGGAACTGGGCTTACTTAGCATGGAGAAGGCTCTGGGGAGATCTCATTGTGGCCAATGATCCAATCCAGTACTTGAAGGAAGTGTATAAACAGGAGGGAGAACAGCTGTTTACAAGGGTGGATAGTGATAGGACAAGGGGGAATGGTTTTAAACTGAGACAGGGAGGTTTAGGTTGGATATTAGGAGGAAGTTTTTCACCCAGAGGGTGGTGAGGCACTGGAACAGGTTGCCCAAGGAGGCTGTGGATGCCCCATCCCTGCAGGCATTCAAGGCCAGGCTGGATGTGGCTCTGGGCAGCCTGGTCTGCTGGTTGGCGACCCTGCACACAGCAGGGGGTTGGAACTAGATGGTCATTGTGGTCCTTTTCAACCCAGGCCATTCTATGATTCTATAATAAAATCCCACTGACACCCACTGAGATGAGTGGAATTTATTCCTAACTGATGTACATAAGCCTCTGATGTAACTGTAAGGGTTTTTGAGAGTCCACATAAATTTTCTGACAGCTTACTGGGATAAAAAAAGAATAAGATTTTATGGCCTGAAGGTGATCGTTACATCCACGTCATTTTTTTCTTGATTAATAACTGCTCCACATATCACAAATATGAAGTTATCAAAAAGATGTACGCTAGAAGGTGAAGATGCTCTTTTTCTCCCACATACACAAGGAGCGTGGAGAACAACACTTTGAGTAAATCCAGCAATTACATTGATTCAGCTGAAATAAACATAGAAGGACTATTTAATTCTGTTGCCCAAATGTAGGCTAGTCTCTGCCTGTCCAGAAACTTACAAATAACCTGTTTAAAACAAACAGCAAGATGATATAGCGACAAGCACCACAGTGTTTCCTCTTGCTTCATATGACATCATCTATTACAGTATGCCATATTTTGAAAAGCTGTGCCTGTCTTGCCAGAATACACCATCCTTTTTCTGGTTGTCTGGAAATAAAATTGGAAATACAGTCAGTCGTATCTTAAACCTGCAGGGCTAAGTCTGCTGGAGAAGATTGGTCATCCAGATCAGACACAGCTGAGCTGGGTTTGACCTTTGTTGCCTCAGGTGGTGAGAGCAGAGTCAGCACGTTGGGAAAACATTCCGCACCAGCAGAGCTCAGGAAAGCCTCTAAAGATTCATAGGTGAGTTGTAAACTGCAATGCATGCTGTCTCAGGAATTCTGAGTCCCAGAGCCACCCAAACCAGCTTTAAGCAGCTCTGGAGTAACTGCAAAAGCAGCTAGCGCAGCAGGGAAATGAACAACAGCACTTCAGCCTTTTGTTCTCTTCACCATAATTATTTTGAGTCTCTCATTGCCGATCCAACAGGAGAGTATTTGACAACTCACCTTAATTAACTCCTATTGGAATTATCTACAAGTTTCCCTAAGCTATTCCACAGCTACTTCTGCAAGAGTGAAGAACTTGGGCTCCTTACAGAAATGCCTTTTTGTACCTCTCGGTCACTTCTGCAAAGATAGACTCGGGTATATTTCACAACAGATTCTTTTCTTTTTTTAAATTTTTAAAAAGAGGTTAAACTAGTGCTCAGTCTGAAGAGCTAAAGCAGAGAAGAGTGAGAAACTTTTGTCTTTTACCCAAACTGCCAATGCTAATGTATTTTTCCCGATCTTTTCTTTTGCATTTGTACAAATATACTATTTAATTATGCAATGGAAATGAAATATCCATTACTTTATGGTAAAACCTTATTTCAGTGTAAAAATGCACTTTTCTTTTTCTGTCATTTTTCACAGATTTGCACAGCAGGTTGGTCCCCACTGCATAGATAAAAGCAATTGTATTCCAGTAGATTACAAAATACTTCATCTTTAATCACATCTGGGACCAGCTGAAAGAGAAGCTGTCACACTGAAACTTTAGCTTAAAATTTGACTTGACTTAAATTTGGCTCCATTGTTCATTCCCATAGAAAGTTCAATGATATGAAAACAAAATATTTTCTTTTTTTTACTGGAACGGCATTTGATGGCTTCCCACCTTGTTTCCAAAAGAGAAAAGCTAAGTTTGTAATGCATTGTTAATTCATAGAACATAGTAATATCCATAAAATGTGCTGTAGGTAGGAAATCCACATTGTCATTTGTATAAATTCATCCTCTCACTTTTACATCTTGATCCTGAATTGCAAGTAGCTTAAGAAGATCCAGTCAGGATAAGAAAGTATAGCAGCTTCACTTGGCTGTTTATTGCCCTCAGGAATATTACCTTCAAACTTGAATTTGATAAATTGTATGTGTCTGCAAAAGTGGAGCAAAAGAAAAGTGGTTAAAACAAATAAACAAATATAGAGGTGATAAAAAATTAATGTAGATAGTAGCATATAGAGGAAGATATATTCTTGCCTGGTTAATTTAGGCCTGAACACTTAGAAGCAGCAGGTGGAGGTAGATATCAAGGGAAAAAGAAAGCTATTTTAAGCTTAATTTTTTGGCTTGTCTCTTGTGTGTGTGTACGATAGTACTTGATGTGATTCTAAAGAAATGCAAATGGAGCACAGAGAAATGAAGAAGTGAGACACAGCTGTTTTATTGTTGGGCTTGGTCATGGTAACAGACAGTGAACTTTTCAAACAGACAGAGCTCGGATGTGTTAGTGACGGCAGATTACACTTCCTGTTAAGGGGAGTCAGACGATGTGAATCTTTTCATGTCAAGTGGAGTCATTTTGTGTGCAAATGACTCAAGCTACTGGTATCTGCTGTAAATTCTTCATTTAAAGTCTTGCAGATGTGCTCTGGTTAAATAAACATCTTTGATAGAAAGCTCACAGACTTGTAGTTTCACTAAACATCTCTCACTTGAAGCATCTCTACGCATTAATGCTGACAGGAAGACCTAACAGCTGTTAAGTGCTGAGGAGCAACTCAGGCCTTTTCTGTTATGGCACATTTCACTGCAACAGGAAGAAGACCTGTCATATTATCACCTGCACATTTGAGAAGTGTCAGGACTTCAGCTGTTTCCACCCTCAGGCTCACTAGAGATGGGTACACAGGACCTTGGGTTAAAGATTTGGACAATGTCCTGCAGCCTTGCAGCCCCGAGGAATAAGAAGTCTGATATCATTAAAATTAATCAGAGAAAAGAGATGCAGTAAAAGGCCAAATTAAATTGCTTTGTGGTCAGAAGGATTGACTGACTAATTCCCACTGACAATGATAATGTCTGCTCATGCTTTTTATGTCTATCATCCTCTCTTGTTGCATTTTAGTTTTCAGTGCTAATATGGTTCAGTAGAACAGGAAGACTTAAAGGAAAATAATGCTGCCAGGTCCAACTCTGCAACCATTCCTTGCATACAGCACAAGTAGCTTGAGAAAGTAAGGTTATATAATCACTTTAGTTGAGTAAGTGTAGCAAAACTAAGGCCCACCAAGAGCCCATATGACACCACTTACTCTTTAAATTTGTAATTGATGCAAGGGAACAACTTTTTATTTTCGGAATGTCGTGATCTGTCTGTCACTATACTTATATAAGCTCACTGGTTTTCAAGTGAGTTATATGCCCCGTCCCTGGAGACTTTCACGGTGAGATTGGATAAGGCCCTGGGCAACATGATGTGGTGCCCCTGTTCACTGCAGGGAGTTGGACTAGATGGCCCTCAGAGGCCCTTCCAACTCTAAAAATTCTATGATTCTATGATTAGATCTCTCTGCTACACTGCTGAGAGAAGGAATTATTCTCATTTTAAAGATGTAAGATCAGAACCAGGAGCTATGCCAGCAACCCAAAGGCATACTTTTTTCTAAGTGTGTTGTAATTTTGGAAGGTTTCTAAGACTTCTATTTTTCACTCACTTATGCCCTTGATCAGTGAAGAAAATTCAGACATCATAGATGATGTCTTGTACCTACCAGAGGCAGAGATGCACAAGAAGCAGAAGGATCTAAGGGTCTAAAGATGTTTCAGTGCTTGATATAAGGCTTCAGCAGTTGCAAACAGCCTTCTTTTGTGTGTTTTTTCTTTTTTTTTTAATTTATTTGTTTCATATTTTCATTTAGTTTTATGAGTAGTAGCAAAGGAGATGTTGAATAGCATCTTTTCTGCACATGCTACAGACATCTGCAGCTTTAAAATAGAGCTGTTTGAAGGAAGGGCACTCACACAGCCTTTCCCCTTTGTAGGGCAGCTGATGCACACACACACTGGTCACATCTGGGACTGCAGGCTGAGCCCTGCGGCAGTAATGCCAGAGACTTGCAAAATATAAGCTCCCAATTTTGTGTAGTTCCTATGGAGACAGTGCTACTTTATGATATTTTTCTCACAGATCAAGGATTATATTGACTTCCCCTATATTAATATTGTTGTGTACTTCTATGTCATTTCTACGAGGGTTATGGAAAGAACATTTCATTCAGACATGTTGAAGGAAAGCGTTGATTATCCCTAGCAGTTGGAGTCAAATAGTCCAAGTTAGTAATCTGGAACATTAAA